GACGTTATTGGCAGCAGATATACCTGTGTTGCTAATCCAATGACCAGTATAAGTATCAGATCTTTATCTAGCCTCAGAAATTCTGGGTGCTCCCCGAAATATTCCGGCTGGGAGTGAACACGAAACTCGCAGAGAGCACAGGGTAAAATTGCATGCTAGCCTGAAGATGCCGCGAAACCTGGCGGTCCCGTCGTGCACCGGATATGGAAATGGCCGCTGCTTATGGTAATAAAAACCACCGGCTGTACACCGTAACGGTGCTTAGCTGTCACGCGGCCACCACCAGTCGCGCGCGGGCTGAGTATACCGCGAAGACGCCCATACCTACGGGGATTCGAACCGGTGACCTTATGGTTGCAAAACAGGTACGCAGACTACTCGGCCACCGGTCTACCACTACGGGAAACGAGCAACATGAAACTTGCTATCATTGAGAATTTGTGCGACGAGGCTGGATAGCCAATCTACAGCTTGAACAGCGCAAGGAGAACACGAACGTTAGCAGTTGATAGCATTTCGTATAGTCTCAGTACCAATAAAATAACTGAGAAATTTTTATATAGGTGTCATAGGGTATAACCAGGTCAATGCTATTCAGGGTTGTGGTCAGTGGGGTTGATACCAGGACCACGGAAATTGCAGGTTGACAACTAGTTGCTTTTGCATGCAGAAAGCTGGTCTAATCCGGCTTATCGTGATAGTTTCTGAAAATCGCAAAATAGGTGAATTTGTATAACGCAACAAGATTCGAAGGGCCCATAAGGAATTGATTTGATGACAGATCGCCAAAATTTGTCTACTCATTGGTGACGTTGTCGGCTTACGCAAGCACGTGTCGTCAGAGGGGGGTGAATTAACTTGACGCTGAACCCAGTTTAGTATGTTACTTCAATATGGAGCTCAAAGCCTTGTCGGTTCTGCCGGTGTAAAAGACCCACAGTTACACACAAATTGGTAAATGCAATGTGATTTGGCGCAATTGGGTTCACCGTCTTTTACAGAATGTCTCGATAATTTCAAGGTTATGTTGAGAATTACCGCTTCCTCAGCACCGTACGTACGCTGAATGACTAAAATTTGGTGTTTAGTCGTCCTTCTAGCGGCAGTGTTACTGTTGAACGGTAGCTCGATGCATACCTTTGGTGCCGTCAGCATCGCTTGTCTGGGCGGTCTAATCTGGCTGTGCTTCGCAATGAACCGTTTTGGGAAGACATTCTCCATGAGCGTTTTGGTAATGAGGCAGATAATCGTTCAAGCACATAAGTATAAAACGAGTAAATGATTTTCTCACCAGGACACGCTTGCGTGCCATTGATGAAGAGCTGGTTCAGTTCAGTTCAGTTGAACAACTATGATCCGAGCGGTGGATCCAGTCTCCATGACTCACGTCACAAGAATAAGAAAAAATAACAACGGCAAGATAGCGGGGATAAAGGCAAATAGAATGTAAAGAAAATGGAAGCAAGAAGGAAATACGTTAAACTAATCAGAATGGAACAAAAATTAACAACCAGATGCAAGAAACCGAATGCAAGAACGCCACTGAACGCGCGACTGCGCCATGTCTGATAAAACCTCTAACCATCGGTGCGGAACATTCCGAGGTCCCCACCCCCGAAGACGGTACACAGCAGCCTAAGCAAGTCTTCCAGGTGTTGTCTCCCTAGAGGTTCGACTTAGCAACTTCTTAGATTGCGCCACGCGAGTCAAAAGACAACGCACCGGACGAGAAGTATCTTTGCGAAACACTGCACGGGCCGACGTGGGAATGAAAACACACTGATTACAGTTCAAATCACGGCTGAGTGCTAATTTGAATTTATCGATCTCAATGAATCACGGGACATGTGAGTGGTATGAAACAAGCGATTGTGACAAATGTTCTGCCACAGAAAAACTCTAGTCTGCTTGTAGCTGAGAATGTTCTGATACAAGGCACATGGGGCGTGGTGAAGTTTTTTTTACCACCAATATAACACCAGACAATTTTTAGTGCGTCTATGCTAAGTCATGGACCGGCCACCTCGCAGTTTCGCCCAAGTTGGAGCAGCCACGGCGTATGATGTAAGCCGAGGAAGCTAGTCAATGGGCATACGGAGGACAGGGCCAAGCAAATGTAAGTGATTAGGATTCAACAAACACTTGAAAGAGTTATCAGGAAGTTATTTGTCAAAAACCAACTGGCGGACCTCAGCATTGTTCAGCACGCGTTCACACCAGACGTGAGCAATACTCCGCAAGCACCCGTGGTTAAACACGGCCAACCGTTTAGTGTCCACCGACAACTGGCCTAGTCTCTGACCTATACAGTAAGACCGGCCTTCCCGCAGTGCTATACATCCTACCTTTCACTGACAGGCTGAGATCCTGCAATCTCCATAGATGGTTGAGTTTCTGAAAAGCCACACGGGCCTTGTTGATACGCGAAATGACTTCCTCAGTGATGTAACCACCAGAGGTAACACAGCTGACAAAATAGGTTAACCGATCCACAGCTTCGTGGCTGTACGGTGATAGCCAGAACCGGTGTGTCGATCCAGTTCTGGAACAGTATTTTGCACTTTGGAGGTGCGAAGCACATACCGAAGCGTGCAGCGCTATGCGAAAGTCTATCCAGTAATGTTTAGATAGCCACTGCGTCAGACCCAAGGAGAGCAGTTGTTCGCATACTCCAGGTTTGTCGGTCAGTCGTCTGGCAGAAGTTCCACTCCAGAATACTCTGAAAGGACCGAATCACGCATTTCGATCACAAAGTTGAAAAGGAAAGGAGATGTAAGACAACCCCGGAGAACCCGACTTGTCATGGGGAACTCAGGAGACAGTTTCCCGTAGACATTTGCACGGCCTTGGGAGTCACGGTAGAGACTGCAAAATGGAATAGAATTCAGCCGGCAAGCCCTTTGTGGATAGGCAGTGACACAAGCTGGTGCGGTCAATAGAGTCGAATGCGGTTTTCAAGTCAAGGAAACTTACCATAGTCGTCTATATGCGGCTCCGCTCTAAAACTTGACAAAGAGTAAATACGCGGTCGATACAACCACCATCAGGGAAGAAGCCCGCCTGGGTTTCAATGATTCGGTCCTCACTGGGACCAGTAGGTCGTCGCAGAATGATACCCGTGAGAAGTTTGGAAGCAACGGAAAAAAGGCTAATGCCTCGATGATTCTCGCACAAAAGGCGCTGATGCTTTCTGAAGATGGACACGACAGTTGACGGTCGACAATCGGAAGGCACCTCTTCAGTTTTTCAAAGTGTTAAAAAAAGCAAATATGGTCAGCAAAGAGGCACCGCCATCTTTCAGAGATGGGGGAAGTTCGTCGGGTCCAGAGGCCTTGTCTCGTTGCAACAAAGAAAGCTCATGTCGAAATGAGCATGAGTAGACAGTAAAAGGCAAGCGAATACCGAAGCAAGATGGAGAGGGCCAAAAGAAGTGATGGAGAACGTGAGGGATAAAATGGTTAGAACAGGAGAATAGTATAGCGTGTAGTTCGTGTGCTATATACCTGATACGCTGCTAGACGGCCAATCAGAGGTAATTGGTAGAACACAAAATTTAGGCTAGGGAAAAAGGTTATTGAACGGGAGAAGAGCCAGCTCACCAGAGGTGAGCTAGCTAGAAAAGATGCAGCTGGGCGTCGAGTGCATAGACGGGGTGTCGTTCGCAATCCGCGTCGTACGCTTCAAAGGCGGATATCGTATTTGATTGTCAAAACAAACGGGAACAGAGTTCCGACAGGTAAATCACCTAATCCCCTAATACCTAAGTATAATTTGAGAATAATTTAAAGTCATATGGGGTGATTTCCAGATCACTACAATAGGGAGGGAAAATGTTGAGAACAAGAAAAAGACGATAACGCATGACCAATAGCACACACATCCACCCTGCTCGATGCAGCAGTCATGGCATCGTTTATTATCCTCTGCAAATTCCAGAGCGTCAATGAAGAGTTCATTGTATTGTGTGGTTAAAGTACTGTCACGTTTCGCAGGTACAGACAGAACGATGAGAGCTTTCAATAAAAGTGCTTGGTTAAAAACCTGACCGTAAAGCAGTTGGAACTTGGCAGTCAGCGACCCAGAGCCCGTTTGAGGAAGTAAGCAGACACTCGCACCTCAATCCCTAACATGAAGAACCAGAAGACTGAGTTTGTATGATTTCTAACTCCTGACCAATCTAGCATGGGTGGCTCTGAACGTGTAAAAAGGCAACCCATTATAGCGCGATGAATTAATGCACGCAAAACATAGCATTATGTTTTGTTTCAGTTTCCACAGTGCAAGTACATCAATTCAATGGAAGTCAGAAAGGCGATCATATGAATAGAGATGATATCTTAATAGCTAAATGGAAGGAAGTAAAAGTTAGCGAGAAAAGTGCTAATTGTTTAGGTCAGCTGATGCATACAAAGGGATGTGAAATGTAAATCGCATCACAAAACGTGTCGTATAAGTAAAAGTAGTGAAGTGTACCACTCTGGAGATTCCCCGGTTTGCCTGTGTAATATTCTAAACAAAAGCACCATTTCATTTTAAACTTAGAGGCGGAATGTTAAGCTGGTTACTGAGTTCGATTGCTTGAGTTATGCACCGCTACTTTTGCTTAGCCCTTGTTTCCGTCAAAACGCGGGACGATTTTATGTGTAGTGCTTCCTGTTCCCCAAGCTAGAGTCAGCGATGCCGTTATTTTATAGCTAGGCAACAGGGGACCTTTTGCTGTACCAATAAAAGCTTCCCTGCAACTTGATCTGTCTTCTGGAATCGCTCTCTGATCTCCCGCTAAAAGCTACCCGCTAAAGATGTAAACGTTTTGCATGCACAGCTGTGCATGTTTTGCAGTTCGTTAATTAGCTATTACCTTCAACATGCGCTATAGCATAAAAAATTTAAAAAGATAAAACCTTAGATATTCATAATCGCTGTGCAGGGAATAGAAATACACCCAGAGGCTTTCCCGAGGAGAAAGATAAAACAAAAATACAAGTGAAAGATCAACCAACCGTGTCTCGTAGGATAGTGGAATTCTTTAAAATTATTTCCGCCTCTCTTGATAGTGCACCTCCTGGCCTAAATGGATTAACCTCCACCTCTGTCGTCATACTAGGAATAACGAACAGGCCGGAGGAGAACAAGTGCAGTTCGACCTTCAGAAAAAGCTTTCATATAAGTTGCCGTACCTTACGACCTTGGAATGGCCGATGCAAAGACACCCAGGATATCCAGATGTTGTGCAGATTTTGAAGAACAAGCGGTTATCCGAGTACTTATATTTAGCTAATATTCTTTTTATTCTACTACAGGTCAGGTCAGGTCAGATGGACGATAGAGGCTTCCGCCTAACGAGCGTCCAGTTCTTGTGCCAGTAAGTGAAGCGACCCCCGGCACTTCGACGTTGGATTGTCTCTTCTTGCTTCTGCAATGGAATGAAGCAAAAACAAGAGCAATCTCTGCACTTTCATATGCCAGCATCAAAATACACTACATATTAAAGTACAACTACAATAGTTCTGGAAAAAGGATGGACCAACAATTGTCTAAGCCCCTTTTGAAGGCTTCTACGGCCTCAGACTCCACTAAATCAGAAGGGAGTTTATTCCAGTAGTTAACTACCCGGTTCGTAAAAAACTTTGCCCTGATGTCCAAACGAGCTCTGTGATGTTTAAGCCTCAGGCGATGCCCGCGCAGATGGTCTGACGTAGCCAGTTCAAACAGATGGGTGGAACTAATACCACTAAGTCCCTTAATGATCTTAAACGTCTCTATCAAATCCCCTCTCAACCTACGCCGTTCCAGGGAAAATAATCCTAAGCTACTTAGACGATCTTCATAAGACTTCCCTCGTTGACCTTCAATCATCCTGGTCGCAAGTTTCTGAATCTTTTCTATACAAGTGATGTCACTACGGAGGTGCGGTGACCGGGCTTGAACGCAATACTCCAGATGTGGCTTGACCACTGCTTTATATAAGGGCAAGAATACTTCTGCTTTAGTGTTACTCAGCGCCCTCCTAAGACGAAATAATTCGTGTCGTGCTTTATTGGCAGCATGGCGACACTGTGCCGAAGGCTTAAAATTGTTCGCTACGATGACACCTAGATCAAGGACTTCGTCAGTGCACCGCAATGATAGAAATCCCACAGGAGACTGAACTGCAATTCCGCTACCACTACTAGTCAATAGTTGACATTTGTTGGCATTTAGAGGTAGGTCCCATTGAATTGACCAATTCACCACAGTGAGGATGTCCTTAGCCAATGTCGCACGGTTTCCCCTACTGACCAGCTTCAAGTCATCTGCAATGATGTAGCAGGGGTCCTCAAGAAGAGGAGCCAGGTTATTTATAAACATAAGAAATGGCAATGGACCCAGAACCGAACCTTGCTGGACACCACTGTAGGCATGACCAACACTAGAACTCCCTTCCCCAACGCTGACTCTAAATGTCCTTCCACAATGGAACAATGGAACAATGGAACAATGGATTTATGCGGGTATAAAAGCTAAAGCTTGACAAATCCCGTAGGGTGATCAGTGCGAAAATCATAGAAGTGTGGAAAATTCAATGGAAACCAATTCAGTAAAATCGTTTAACTGAATTGGTTTCCATTGAATTTTCCACACTTCTATGATTTTCGCACTGATCACCCTACGGGATTTGTCAAGCTTTAGCTTTTATACCCGCATAAATCCATTGTTCCATTGTTCAGAGAGCCATAGTAGTAGTTGAGGATGTAATCCAAACCATGTCAACTTCTCAATTAAAAATCGATGATTCACGAAGTCAAAGGCTTTACTGAAGTCTAAATAGCACACCTCTACCGATATCCCACCATCAAGACAACGGGTAATCTCGTCCAAAAAGCACAATAAATTGGTAAGACAAGACTTCTTTTTGAGAAAGCCATGCTGTTCCGCTCTAATTAGATTGTGCTCAGTCAAGTGCTCACAGATCCTGTTCCTTATAAGCTTTTCCAAGCATTTCAGCATGATGCTGGTCAAACTAACAGGTCTATAGTTAAGAGGCACCGACTTAGAACCCCCCTTGTGGATGGCAACAATAGTCGCCTCCTTCCAATCACGTGGCAGCTTGCCTTCTTGAAGAGACTGGTTGAATAACTCCACTACGGGATACTGGAGGATATCAGCCAGAGGCTTAACTATGGCGGGATGTACGCTATCAGGACCGGCTGATTTATAAGGGTTCAAATTGGCCAGCACTGTGAAGACCTCTGACACAGTCTTTCAGTTAATAGTAGCTTTATTCGATTAATGTCTTCCTGCGGATTCCGTGTGTGTAATTGAAAAAGGATTTTACCAAGTGCTCCACGTTGATTTTCATTTTGCATGTGCGGCGTCGTTTTTACGCATCAAAATATTGGCTCTTGGTTGTTCAAGGTTTCTATGTCAAGACTTCGAACTGTTACGTCGTCTAAGGGCATAGATGTTGGCAAACGATCACTTTCCACCAAAAAGCTCTTCAGTACGTTCCGTGCGTGCGACTGCTGCACACAACCATCAGTCACACCAGTGATCTTCTACACGAAGGTCTTCAACACATTGCCTCTCAGGTCATGAGCCATCTTTGAGCCTCCTGTCGAGTACCAGTAAAATAAAAAAGGCTTCCGGCTAACCATCATCCTCTCAATATAAGTATCGCTGCCTTCCTGTCCATAAGCGACAAAATGGCTTAGAACTCGGCTGGCACGTAAAACCCCCCGGTTCAAGCAAGAAAGGTAACCGTGATGTCAACTCCGGTACTTACAATTAGTAATCGAAATACAACATGTACATACTTTGGCAACTACCCGATCAGTCTCGAAACAGCCAATGAACAATGAACAAGCAACAATGATCTATCACGGGTTAAAAAGCATGTGCTTAATAAGTCCCGTAGGATGGTTGTACTAAAGCTTAACATTAAAAGCATCCTCGAATAAGTAAATGGTTATTTTAAGCGTCTACCGATTTAATTGCACTACTGCATAACAATATTTTGTATGGGAACTTGGTTGTGCACCCAAAATAGTACAGAGAGTTGTTAGAATCCAGTAGATGCAAGGGAAATAAAAAAGGAAACGACAGCGCTGACTCATGGGTTGCTTCATTTGACAGATATGGTATGATAATCCAGTTTAGATACGTACCGGGTATTCACATGGGCACATCTGCCTGTATCTTTACCGCCACGTTGCTGGAAGGGCCGTTAAGCACACTGATAGGTTTGAGTCATTTCGTCCGCCAAGTAATGCAAGTTGGAAAACTTTTCCTTAAAGTATTTTTTGAATAGCCTTAAGGTAGCGGCAAGGATAACGTAAGTCGAATGGACGTTCCTGGCACGGAACACACGGAAGGAGAAAAGGTTGCGTCGAAAGGCAAGTCGACTGCACTGCGCAGCCAGTTTGGGCTGGTGGCCCCTCAGGTTTGTATTTTGGCTCAGCTGCAACTAGTTGCGATCTGAGTGAGTTGGGGTCGTTTGTATTAAATAAAGCATGATTAGTTTTCATCGCTGACATTGACGTGCAGCACTGTACAATCTCAGGGAGTGCGGTCTGCGTAGGCAGGAGAGGGGAAACTATTCTCTAACTAGTTTAGTCGCTCTACATTATGGAGCTTCTAGTGTATGGACGTCGCGCTTGCGCCAGGAAGGCCAGGCCTAAATGGCTTCTTCCACGTGGGAACTCACGTAGACATTTATCATTTGCTGAAAGATTGATGGCTCGAAATTTTCGAAACCCTGCTGTTCGATTCCACCTTGTTGACTGGCACTATTTGATGCTTTTCAGACTGTGTCGAACAACCAAGTTCTTTCTGCATGCTCATTCCAAGGTCATTTGCTTGAGAAGCACTTTGTATGTGTACATCAATAAATAACTCCTTTATTCTTGGACACTACGCGAAACCTCTATGTAAGCATGCTCCTGTTAAAGGCACACCACTAGGGTTAAACCATGTATCTTTCACGGCAGTCAACTTGTTGAAAACACTAATGTTATTGTGCGTGCACAGGTCACCTGTCGTAGACGACGTGAAAACGAATACCTTAAAGTGAGCTGCCATGGACCTTGCCGAACGATTAGCTCAGTACTTACAAAGTTGTCGCGACGAAATGCGGGATCCCCACAAGGCGGAAACACGGCGTTGTCACTCCTATTTATAGTAGTGATAATCGTCCGGAACAACCGAAGTACCGTCCAATCACCCCCTACCAGTTTTATCCAAAATAATCCAACCCATAATTGCAGAGGCGATCGTGAACTACCTTGTGAGCAACAACCTCTTAGTGTCACAGCAACACGGATTCCAGCAAAAGTGATCCTGCACTACAAACTTGCTGATAACCCGAGCAAGCTGGACAACGTCAGCACATACCAGAGTGGGAGTCGACGATGTCTACCTGGACTTCTCTAATGGTTCCATCGTTTGGACCACTACCTTCTCATTCACAATCTTCGAAGCCATAGAACCTGTGACTGTGTACTCGGTTGGATCGGCAACTTCCTCGCTCAACGTCCGCTGAAGGTGAGAGACCGCAGCTCCGTTACCGACCCAGGTGACGTCCAGTGTGGCGTGCCCTAAGGATCAGTGCTACTGACACGTTCAGTCCTGACATTCATTAACGCTGTTGTCAGTGTAATGTAGTCCAATTTCTTACCTTGTACAGATGATGTCAAATTTGGCACCATAGCAGAACATATGATGACAACAAGGTATTGCAGGGCGATTCCACAGGGCTTATGCGTGGTTCTCTGATAACTGGCTCCAGTTAACCGTGCAATTGAACATTCGTAACTATACACAATCAGCTTCTCTATGCTTATGGACTTGGGGACAAGCCGTTACAACTTGTATCCCAAGTAAACGCCCTCAAGGTGATCTTGCAGTACGGTCTCGGTTGCGTGAGACATCCTGAAAAGGTATATACAAGAGCCCGTCAATATCTTGGACGCTTACGGAGGGCCTACGGAAATTTCGTGCCATCAATATTTCGGAAATGCTGAACGCATGCGTGAAGCGTCGCGTAAAATATATGCTATTCAGGCTTGGAATCCTTGGCGCAAGTGTGACGTCGATACACGGAAGCTCTACAACCTAGCGCGAC